AGAGAAGACTCATGCATTTGTACTCAGCCAGTCAGAGATTCTTCAAAGACCTCCATTTCAATGTTGAAAGTAAAGATGGGAATGATCTTTTAATGAAATTCTTTCAATAGTCAATGTCATCTCATTAATCTAGATCAACACTTTCGCTCGTCTTCAAAGGCTGAGAAATTGTTTCTCCATTTATTTTTCACCTTCCAGACGAGCATCGTGAATTTTCGATTGAATGTTTCGGGGTTTAAATTATTTAAAACCATTTATTCGAATCTTCTTTCAACGTGAAGAGATGTTTGGAGGTGGTGAATGACTTTGTGGATCTTCTTCACGTGAAGATAAAGATTATCAGGACAAACATTATTTAGTGAACTAACAATTGCTTTGTTTCGAGAGTAAATGTGAGAATGTAAAAAAAATCTGGGATTTGTTGAGGGTCATTTCGAATTCAATGAAATAATGGAAAGATGAATAAATGGAAAATCAGAGTCAGAATTGTGGCTTCACGTGAGAATTATTGTGGAGATGAAATCAATTCCTTCAATGGATAACAGGAGTACAAAGAAATCCTTTTGTAACCAGAAAGACGAGCCGAAAAAATATCAAGGAAGATTAATCCCAATCGCTTCATTCGCACTCCATTCGCACTTGATCTCATCCTCAAAGACTATAAAAAAGTGATAAAAATAAACGAAACAGGAATGCGCACTTGAATAATCAAACTAGGAAAAATCGAATTCCCGAAAACTTGGAAAAATATTTTCATAACAGCTCTCCATTTTCCCAGATTTTGTCAATATTTTTTGACTATCCCTAGAAGACCCTTTTTACCTCAAGCCTATCGACAAAAAGTATATAGTAGTAATATCTATTTTCATTATTATTATTATACTAATCCTCCACTGATCTCTGACCTCATGAAACAAATCCAGAAATATTTTCCCACGTCTCGGTAAAATGAACGCATTTTCACGAAAATCCTCACTATTTTTTCGCCTGTCCCTCGAGGAATGCCCTTTATTTTCCCCAAGCCCATCGACTAAAATAAAGTATATATTTAGAGGGGGACAACACACCTTAAGCCACCTAATTCGCCCTTCACGGTTTCGCAGTGATGGAAGTCGAAAGAACGAAGAAAGTAAAACCGGCCAAACGGGCTTGGACTGTTATAGGGTCAGTTTTTCGTCTCAGAGAGAAGTAGCTACCTGTCGTGCCACTCTCAAAAGACTGTATACAATTCCATTGGAGGATATTTCATTCTAAACTTCTCCGAGAAAAAGGGTGGGGAACGAAATCCACTCGAAAATACGTCAACACACGGTAAGAGAGGATGAAGGGCCTTTGGCACCTTCAGCATCCTCTGGCTCATCTCATCTCCAGAGCCAATGCCAAAGACGAGAAAAGAAATTATTTTTCTCGTTGATTAATTTATTTGAGGTGACCTTGAATTAACTCTGCCAATAATTATCAATATTAAAATGAATTCAATTGAATTTATTTAGTTGAACAGGAAATTATGGAATAATATCGGATTGATAATATCGGAAACTTGGGAGAAAATAATAATCAATCTAGTAACTTCAGAGTTCTCGAAAGAATAGATACATCTCTCAAATAATTATAACAGATCCTTGAAAATAATTTTTTTCTCCAGTGCAATGAGAAAAGAGATGAGAAGGTTTAGGAAAAAAGATTGAGAGAAGCCAAAGTCGAGAGTCAACTCGGCCGGATTCCTTCTTTCTTTTCACATAGATTTTTTTCTCCCCTCTTGTTTTCCTGCTTGTTCTTTTTTCGTTAAACTTTTTTTTTTTCAAGTTCCTACGTCGTCGTTATGACAATATATCTCGGGTAGCCGTTTGCAGCCCAAAAGCCTTGCCGCCCTTCTTTGTCGGAGATTTTTCAAGCGCAAGGACTAGGGCTTAAACCGCAAATCTAGGCAGATGATGGAAATGTCTCGATGTGAAAATAACAATGATCTTTACGGATTTTCCCGGATTAAGCCGGAATTTCGCGATAGAATTAATTGTCAGAAAGATTTCGTTGTAAATTACTCAATCAATTGATTTCGTTTGAATTTTTTTAGGATCTATCCGATCAATAAAAAAAAAATACTCGATTGACAATGAAATGAAATGAGTTCATTGACTCCATTCGATTCCAGACAAACGTCAGGATAAATCCTAAAAATTACGTGACAACTGCAACGACTTTGTAGTCAAAAGTTGACAATGGAATTCTCGCAGTAAAATACAATCACGATTCATTGATTATTTTCCTGAGAGAGAGATTCGGGGGACTAAATTCTAAATGTATCTAAGTAATGACAAAGGAAAAAAAAGTAAATACGAAAATGGAGAGGCAAAAACGATAGGAGAGACAGTCCCCTTCGTCGATTTCATATAACGCTTCTTTTTCCTCGTTTTTACGACAGTACAAGGCGGCGTGACCACACATACGTCCACGGGTTAGTTTTTATAGGCCTAATATATTATGTACATACATAGGATACATGTGTTATAAACGGGCTGTGCGCCGGGGGAAAAAAAAAGATTTGAAAAGGGGGGAGGGAAGAATCACCGTGACCAAAGAGTATTATTTCGATATTGGGATGGCAATGGCCCCATAAATGAGAGAGGAAAACACCGTTTTTCCGAAGAAAGTACCCGAAAGTCAATTTAAATAAAATAAATAAAGAAATTCACTGAAAAACCGTTGGCTAAATAAAAAAAGCCCCTTACACGACAATTCGTCGCAACAATTTTCATTAAACATTTATCACGGTATTTTGATAATATAAAAAATTCCAAAGATCTGCAATCGGTTTGACGATGACAATTATTTCGTGAAAAAATATTCAATGCGGTTGAAAAATGTGAATAAACGTATGGATAAAAAAAATATATTGTTCGGAACAATTGTTGGGCGTTTATAGTTTTCCATCAAGAAAGATCCGGACAAAAGTGCCATAAACCGATGCCCAAATAAATTTTACGAGCAAAGCACTAAAAAAGGAAGCCGTAGGACAAAGAATTAAGAACACATCTAAACCGTAATAGAATGGACGATATTTTCGCCCCCTTTTATTTAGTAATCGCAAGTTGCCGAATAAAGCCACACATTCCTGCATCTTAAAACGCATAAGAGGGGTAATATTACCCCTCACGAATGACTTACCGGTCATACAAGAGTAAAAAGGGCGTTAATGCAATTTTTAATCGCCGTCATAAACGTTTCTCTCTTACTCATTGTCCTCTTTCTCTGTACGCTTAATAAACGTGCCTTTATTAAACCCAACGATTATTTTTCTTTTTTTTTTTTTTCACTTTTTATGACGGATCGTGCGTATACATATGGCAGAAGGCGAATACACCCAGTATAGGAATATAAAAATAAAGAGAAATCTTTTTCTTCACCTCTGGGCTTTTTTCAAAGGGAGTCCCCATCTCAATAGTTAAGAATTTGCCATTCGCCCTTTGTCGTTTTGCAATGCCGGATATAACCGCTCTCATGGGCGAATCTTTACGACGTTCAATCGTTTATTCTTATTTATTCTCTTTAACGGCTTATGTGCCTTTCTTGTGTATGTACTCACGTTTTCTTTACTCTTCGGGGCTTTCTTTGAAAAAAATAATGAGAAATTTGTGATGGAGCCCATGGCAAACTAATGCCCAAAATAATTATTCACTTTGTCGAGGGTTTTGCAGGAAGTCAACTCTCGTGGAGCGCCCTAAACCGATTTATTTTTAAGATATTTAGCAAACAATTTACTAATTCGCTGTTTGCTGAATTGAGACTCGTGAAAATTATCGTGGAATTGGTGGATTCTAATGGAATGAATCAATTTTCGTAAAATATACTGGTGTCATGAATATTTTATATCGGTATTTTTCAATCTCCGGTTGCAGTACAATTTTTAAAATCGAACATTCACTCTTGTGACTATAATTCACAGTATCGGAATGTAATCAACGAATCCCACTCAATGACATTCACGTCGACAAACAGACCATTACGAAATGTCATTGAACTTCGTCATGAAACCTCAATATTACTCCAATTAAACATTCCATCAATTATCCATTAATCTTAAATACTTTTCAGAAATCACGTGAAAAAAAAAATCGAAATCATGGCAATCATCATAAAGAAAAAAAAAGTGACAAGTTACACCACGACAGACATCTCAAAAGCCACCAATTTGGAAAATGGATCACCTGCCGTAAACCCACTGCATTCATCTGCAATTAGCCTCAACCCTCACCTCAATCCCCCCTAGCAAAACCAGAAAGAAAAATAAAAATAATCATCATAAATCAAGAGTCCCTCTGCCCTCTCTACCGGTGCAAAACTCCTTTCGTACCACATAAACACTGGAAGCCTAAAGAAAGATAGACTCGACTGGCTATACTATTTTCTCCATTACAAATGTACGCGAATTCATGAATGTGTAAGTGCACTTATACTGTTGGGGGGAGGAACGATTAATCGGCCAAGGGAACCAGTTTGTCAGTAATAAAATCTTCACAAACGATCGCTTGACCGCTCGAGAGAGTGTGCCGATCTCCTCTGCACTTCTTACATACTGCACCCCCCTTTCCCCCCCTTCACCACCTAATTTCTTTTGTTCTCAATACTTCCGGGGGCATCTTGAAAAATCGTCAATATCATCATTACCCCAGAAAACAATTAAACATCAACTCTCAAATTCCTGCATAGACATTCATGCAGGAGAGATTAATTGAGGATTCTCGCATTTTCAAGATGATATTTTGATTGATTTGGTGGATTAATCCTGCAGATGATATTTCCGCAATAATCGAAATAAAATCGAAATCGTTGAGATCGAATTGTGCGGTCAGGGGACGTTGGAAGGTCGAAGATTTTTGGGAGTCACGGGGGATGTTATTGGGTGATGTTGAGCAATTGTTTTGACTCCTCGATCAGTCATTACGGAATTATGAAATTGTTGTGAATGATTTGAATGGAGTAAAGGTATGTTGAGTACTTACCACCAATTAGCTTCTGCGCCGTAGTATCTCGCAATCACGAGGATCATCAGAGCGACTAGTTTCGATGTCACAGACAGCATCTTTATTTACTTAATTGTTGTATCGACGGTTTATTGAACTGTTGATCACACTTGATGCCTGCGGGAGAGAAACACCTTGTAGATAAAAAGTTGTCACCCCCGTATGGAGAATTACCGATGACGCACGAGGGGTTTAACTGTACATTTTTCACACACACGATATTCACTGGGGATTTTCGATTTTCTTTTATGATTGCAATTAAATCTTGATTAATTACCGCACTTACTTCGTTGTCACTGTTTACATTTTTTATGGTTTGATTATCACTTGAACTTTTGATCAACTGGGGATGGTGTTTTCGTTTTACTTTGATTATCCGGTTTGGGGGTTGATTTTTATACTGATTTGGTACGATGGGGGTTTTTTTTTAATTTGATAAGCGGTTTTGCACTGATGGAGTGACCATACCTCTCCGGCGTTCGCGTACGTACTGTGGCGGTTTGACACGAGGAAAAGGGCATCGAGGCCTTCTCGACTTTGGTGGAAAAGGCGGAGCCAAATTGAACCAATCAGGTGGCGACGATTGGATGAGCGAGGGAGGCCGGTCTCGTGGTGGTTGAGTGCCCAGAGGATGATGACGATGACTGTTCAACGATAACTCCAGTCATCGAGGTACCAATGAGTCCGGGGGAGGGCACCTGTCACTCCAAATTTTCTTTTTTTTTTTTTTTGTAGAAAATTCGTGAAGGTAATTTCATTTCTTCTTTCCTTTATTCCCTCATTCCTTTGAGAAATTCGTGATGGTACTCCAAGTTTTCTATTTTTCTCTTTTTTTTCTCTTTTTCTCCTCTTCTTTTCCTCTTTTTACATTTTCCAGGAGTTGGTCATGGGGAATCGGTAATTTCCTCCGGGTGAATGGGATTTTTTGAAGAATCAAGAAAATTGAAAGGACTTTTCAGTTGTCTTCGTCGTGTGAAGAAATTATAAATTTTGTAAGGACTTTTTTTATAATTATATGTTCGTGGGATGGAGGTGGTTGTGATCGATGATGTTTGTCGATCCGGTGGGGCGTCTCGAACAAATTTTTCAAGGTACTCCCATTTGTCTTAACAAATCGAGATAAAAATCATCCTTCAAATCTCGAACTGTAATTATATCCCCCCGAATTTCCTTCCTCCTCGTCAGTTTTCATCGTCCATGAATGGGTAAACAAGTTTGAAAAAAGGGTTCGTAGATGGGATTTCAAGAGAAACTCCAAACGACGAATTTTCCATTCTTTAAATGAAATTCCTTGTCACTTATTCATAACTATTTTTCTTTCTTCGGTAGAAACTCGATCAGCCACTTCTCGGTTCCAACTTTTCGGGTCACAAGTGCCTTGTGTACCTAAGAAAAAAAAGGTAGAAAAGAAATAAATGGCCCACCTTCAACCCCAATTCAAATGGATGCAACGAAGAAACGGTGGTCTCGTATCTCTCGGTTTTCAGAAGTAAAAAATCAGAGAAAATGAAGACGAAGATGTTTGACAAAGAAATGTTGTGTATACAGTATCTTCGGGTGGGTGCCATTGTTGTTTATGCTCCCCTCTGCGGCCGTGCCTAATCAGGCATGCCCAGATTTCTCCCACTCCATTTGGCCTTCTAATACTTTTCAATGAAAAGAAAGAATTTGCAATAACGTGGGTTTTTCCTGTCAAGTACTTCAGATGTCGATTGTGAAATGCCTCTCAGTCTCTAATAACCGATTTGTAATTATTTCCAGTTTAATTAATCGAAATTTATTCCATTTTCAATGTTATATGGATGAAAAATACATTTTTTTCAGATTTTGCAATCGATCGTCTCTAATAAATACATGGGATATTGCCGGGGAGGCAAAAAGTTAAAGTGTTACAGGTGATTCACTTCTGGCGGTTGTTTTTTCAAAGCTATAACAAATCTAGTAAGCCCCTTTCACTCTACGACTGTAGGCGAATTAATTAAGACATTAATTTAATGATGCAATTAAGAATTGTTACGCCCATTTACCAATAAATTATACATTGAACTTACGTTCGTCTTTCTTTGTTTTTTAATTTCCATTCTCGGTAATTACCAGAATGATTTTAATTGAAATAAATATAATCGATAAAGGTAAAGTTAATCAGACAAAATCAGGATTGAATCGAGATTCAATCCCATTAAGAGTCGGCGGACTCTTTCAAGATAAACATCGAAATGAAAATGAAACCACCTCTTGAATCTTAAAATTCCTCCACTCTGCTGGCTCTCGAGGGCTCTATTTACCCAGTAAATATCGTAAAATCATCAAAAAAAGGAGATGATTCAATACACTATCGTAACATTATCTGTTCTCAGAACACCTTGAAAAAAAAAATTGAGCCCACAAAACTGAGCCCATTCATGTCATATCATACGTACTTATCAATTGCGCCCTTTTGCCTCCCCATCAAATCTCAAATTGATCGATTATCAATCCCTGATAATCAATCATAAATCATTCCCCACATTGAAAAAATGACAGAATTTTTTTTAAACGTAAAAATATCAAATTGAAATGAAATTGAACCACCACGAGACGATTAGTTTAATTAGACTTTATTCTCATCTACTTAAAATTCTTCCCACCAAAAAATATATCTACTTTCCATCAGAATGAAAAATACAAAAATTATGGTACAGAGTGAGTAATTAAATTAAATAGAAATTAATAAATTAACTGTCACAAGGCCATGGGTTGATTCCTCTGGGAAGGATTGTGGTAGAGTCCAGCCATGGCTTCCTGGAGAGCTCGAAGGCAGGCAATCGAGGCCTTGAAGCCTCCAGCACGTTCTGCAGAGGTCTCAGTTCTCACGTGGTTGATGTATCCACGAGAAATTATTTCTCTGAGAGCTGGTGGTGTTGGACCATCAATCTCCATGGGAATGGGAGTGTAATTGTAGAGGGGAGCATCATCCTTAGGAACAGGCAGGAAATTCTGAGCAGCAGACTGGCCAAATTTAATTCCACTGCTGAATTGGGTTACCCTAGGTGCTGGGGGAATATTAGATTTTTCCTTCGATGCTTGGATGGACGACTGGAAAGTCTCGACGATGCTTTTTGCATTCCCCTCGGAGAACATCAGCTCATCGATCAATGCCTCCTTATCTCTCAGTTTTTTCTTCTTCATTTCTAATTCCTCTCTGGCTAATTCTAAACGCCTCTCCTCCTCTCGTTGCTTCTCAAGCTCCAAAAATTCCTGAAGCTCTGACTCCGTTCTCCCCATTTTATTTTTATTCCTCAGGATCTGCTCGCGATTCTCCCGTTTGTACTGCTCTATTCGCTTATTCGTCTCTATGACCTCGATGTTGTTGGAGAGATTGTAGATTATTGTCTCGATTTCCTCCAGGTAATCGTTGTAATCGCGGAGGGTCGTAAAGTCATCTTCCTTTTTATTGAAATCTCGAAGGATTCTTTTGCGAATGTCTACCTCTTTCTCCACCATTGCATCCTCGAACATCTGCACCCGGAAATTGCCTCGGCGAAGAGGTATCAGGCATTCTGGACATGATCCTGAACCTGAGATTGAAAATTAGTATAGGAATAATTTAATAGTCCATGTGGATAACCTGAAAAACCTTTGGGGATAATTTTTTCGAGAGGAAAATTCGTTCTGACCTTTCAAGAAGAGGAGATCCACACAACTTTCACAGAGTGTGTGTCCACAGACATTCACCATCAATTTCAACGATGGATTCCTGTACTTCGTTGTTTTACAACGAGGACAAGCCTGATCCAATTCCATCTTTCAATTTTATTAATTACTCTCAAAGCAGCCTGCAAATTATATATCCTTCAAAGTCACATAACATTATAAATTTATTCCTAGATCCATCTGAAGTACCAGTCATTCTTGCAGGACCTAAAAGAATTCCTTCAATGAATTTTCTCCCCTACGTGACAACAAACACTTAAACAATTAATCGAAACAACAATATTCCATGATCATAACCTCTTCATTCGCTTTCGCTCTTTCTTCCCGATAATTCTCTCTGAATTCACAGAATCCAAATTTATCCTGAGATTTCAAATATTTCGGATTATCAATTAATTAGATTCACTAATTATTTGAGGATATGGAGTGATTAATTAGATGGAGGAACAACTTTCAGAAAAACATTCACCCGGCACCCGCACTTGGTATACGTACCGTATGTTTCGTGTAGAGACACGCTTATTCAGACGGTATTTCGAAGAATTATATCATGAAAACATGAGGAGCGAAGAGGTATCAACTGAATTGTCAGCTGATTTCTCTCCATTTCTGTTCTCCTGTTCCCAACTCTTAAAATCTCCTATTTTCGGCATTAGCGGTGATTCGCTGTAGAATCATAATGATAAAATTCTTCCACTAACAAAAAATCCCTAAAAAACACCCCCAAATGGATATTCCACTGCAAAAAAAGTAAAATTTTTCATTGCTCGTCACCTTTCCATCTTCTCTCTAATTGTCTTACTTTTACAAATAAATTGCTAATTAATTCTTGTGCAATCAGAAATGTATTTTACATGAGCATTAGGTCAGCCTGCTCTCTACGCCCTGGGGCCCGTGGGCCTGTACGAAAATTTTTGGGGCCAGTTGATCCCTCAATCTGGGCCTAATCTCTTGGCATTGTCCAGCGCTGGAATAATCTCTGGATTTTTGTTTGTGGAAGATTTTGCGGTTGATTATCATTTTTTTTTTATTGTGAGTACTTGTGCGGAGTAAATATGTTCTGTGCTGTATACGTCGTCTGCTGTACGAAAGAAACCACTACGTTTCGGCGACGCTGCTTTTCGGCGTTGGCATCCGGAGTACATGTCCGCGAAGAATTGAACTTCTACTTGAGGAATCAAACAGGGATTTAAAAATTTCGATTTTCTCTTCCTCATTTAATTAGCTTTCTGAAATTGATTTTTCTTCAGCAATGAAATTTTTTATTGAAATTTAAAAAAATATAACATTTTATCATTCAAGTTTTATACGGTCATTGCATACAATATTTTGTATCTGTATTAGTTATATCGTGATTGGCACCATTATAATGGTTATTTCTTGTGAATCACCGGATGGAATTGCGATCCCTCAGGAGTGTCCAGAAAGCCGTCTATCGCTAGCTTATCTTTATATTCTAAAAGAAATTCGGTAATTACAAATAGTGAATGAGAGTAACTCTCCAAAATAAATGACAAAAATACCTGGATTCCAGGCATAAGGTGTGAGATCAGTGATTCCCTCATTCTTCACTACATCCTCATCCACCAAAAATTGTCCAGTCAATGTTTTACTATCCTTTGTGACAATAGCATAAGCAGCATCAGCCACTATATCTTGCTTTCTGCTGTAATTTCTTCCCTGCCCATTGGTTAACATATCAAGGGCAGCAGTTTGAATGACAGTTCGTGGCCAAAGAGCATTGACGGCTACTCCCTTGTCCTTGAACTCCTCTGCCATTCCCAAAACACAGAGTGACATTCCATATTTGGAGATGGTATACGCGAGATGATCTTTGAACCAGATGGGGTTCAAATTCAATGGAGGACTTAGATTTAGAATGTGAGGGTTTTTACTTTTCAGGAGATGAGGTAAACAAGCTTTTGACCTGAAATATTGAAGGGTTTTAAATGACAATAATAATAACAATAACATCAATTCAAACAGCAACTCACACGATGAATGTTCCTCTAACGTTCACCTGATTCATCAGATCATAACGTTTTAGGTCTGTCGAAAGGGTCGGTGTTATGGAAATGGCACTGGCGTTATTCACGAGAATGTCAATTCCTCCGAATTTTTTGACTGCTTCGGATACAGCAGCATTTACTTGAGTTTCATCTCGCACATCAACTATGCATGCCAAGGCTCTCCCTCCAACTTTTTCCACTGGAGATAGTTATCATATTATTTAGAGAAATGTCCTGCGAATTAATTCTTAGTGTTCGATACCTTCTTTTGCTACTGTGTGGATCGTGCCTGGTAATTTCGGATGGGGCTCAGCCGTTTTGGCGCATATTACAATGTTAGCTCCATCTCGAGCAGCTTTCAAGGCTATGCTTTCACCAATCCCCCTGGATGCTCCAGTTATCAATAAAGTTTTACCAGCAAGCTTTCTAAAATAATAATTTTAAATTTAATCGACTTTCATGGAAAAAAATTTATATAGATAATAAATGAAAAATTTGCATTGTCACCCCGTATTTCTTAACATGATTGGAACCTCGTGTTAAAGATTATTACTGAAGTGTTGGAACAAGATTATCAACTGCTTCCAAAGTGCAGCATCCGCGAGATTATATATCAGGCAATCCATTTAATAATAATAATATTTTTCCGATAACTCAATGGATAAAACAGAACACTTTGACTACATCGGATTTTCGAGGCCCTGAGCAAGCTCAGGAAATATTATAGCGTACGAACTCGTACGCTAAAGTTGCAAAAATGTTTTCCTCACTAGCAATTACACGTACGTAATGTTTAATTCATCGATTAAACTATTCTGTGAAGTGCTTTCAGCGTATTTTTAATTACTAATTAAATTATCGTGGACTCACATCGAATAAAATCGAGTTTGAAGGATAGATAACCTGCAAAACGTCCCTCACTATTTACGTTGTTTCTAAAAGTCGGATCCCATCATTCGGCAATTATATAACTTCAATAAACTGTTGATATTGTTGATGAAATAATGCGCAATCTGATGGACTCAATTATTAAAGATTGCAGTATCGAATTCCAAAAATTTAGAGTTTTATAAAGTTAAGGGTCGATGGCAGAGCTCATTTTGGAGCTTGCACCAATTTCCTCTCACTTCAAATTTTTTTTTTCGGATTATAATTTATTCTTTCTCGCAGGTAATCTCAGAACAGGACTTAGGATCCTCTCGAAAACGTCTGAGACATCCCTTGTCCCTTCGATAACTCAAATTCAGAATGTCTCAACAACTCCAGATACCAAAGCCGATGCAGTTCCAGCGAAAAAGGAGAAAATCCCTTACAGCCCCTTCCAGAACACGAACAACATGGCAGAATATGCACTAGCTCGTGTGGACGATCTCCTGAATTGGGGACGTAAGGGATCCTTGTGGCCGTTGACCTTCGGTCTTGCCTGCTGTGCTGTGGAGATGATGCACATTGCAGCCCCTAGATACGACATGGACAGATTTGGAGTAGTGTTCAGAGCATCTCCTAGGCAAGCTGACGTTATCATTGTAGCTGGTACACTCACCAATAAAATGGCACCTGCATTGAGGCGAGTTTATGATCAAATGCCTGAGCCCAGGTGGGTCATCTCCATGGGAAGTTGCGCTAATGGGGGAGGATATTATCACTACAGTTATTCGGTTGTGAGGGGATGCGATCGAGTTATTCCTGTGGACATTTACGTACCTGGTGAGAACTGTAATTTTTTAAAAGACGTGTCGGATAATTATTTGTTGATAATTTATTTCTTCAGGTTGTCCCCCAACTGCTGAGGCACTATTATACGGTGTTCTTCAGCTGCAGAAAAAAGTTAAGAGAATGAAAACCTCTCAAGCCTGGTACAGAAAGTAATGAAGCAATAATGTAATTCCTGAGTAATCAAGGTTCAACTGGATGGATCGTTTTTGTAGTCACCAATTATCGTCGTAATCAAATCAACAACGATCTTTCTTGTATTTAAACAACAGTTGTAATTGTAAATTGCGACGAAACACCTGTAAAATTGAATAAATTTATGATTGTTTTTTTTTTCTTCATCAGAGTCTCGATTAATCGTCCTCTCTGTTGGTGTTGTCAAGGAATTCCTGTGGTGGAGTAAAATAAGACGAGATACTCTTTTTTTTGAATTATCTTAAAAAATACATACATTTGTGATAAAACAATCTGTACAAGGACGATGAACCATATACCACATGTTTTTCCAATTTCAAAGCATTTTTATGTTTTCCATTGTAACTTCACACTCACAATCAGTCTGTTCATTAAAAAACTCAGTTTATTTTTCATTCAAGAGACTAGCATGTCGTAAGATCTTCTCACACCAATAATTTGTCAAATGATACATCGGTCATTGTAATTTTGTATTGAAGAAGTGGAGAGCAAAAGTAATTATCCATTCATCTCCTATTCTCACTACATTCGTTGACTTAAAACAATTCAACCCTTGATGATTTTCTATGAAGGAAAAGAAGAACTAAGAGCATGATATCTTTACGATCTTAATAAATGAAAAGTATTTCACAGTAATTTAGCTCCTTTTCAATAAGTTTTTTAAATATTAAATGAATTCGAAAACATTTGAGTTCGACTCTCTAACAGAAGGATTTGAGCTGAACTACTCTACAAGTAAATCAACTACGATTGCTTGACGATTACCTAGTTTATCTTTATTTCAATTAAGGTAATTTCTTTATATACAGCACGCCAGACTCTCGAACAATTTCCACTTCTTCATAATATTATGCAAAAATCAATGGAATGAAGAATGGTAAATGTTCGAGTGACTAAAACGTTAAGGCCCCTTCAGGCAATCCATCAACTCTATTATTTTTGATCATTCTTTCATATAATAATTATGTATATTACTTACACGGCTTACGACTATTTCTGGGCTCCCGGGGTAAACGAGAAAAAACGAAAAATTTCTCCGGAACTATCGACAAAAGAAAACAATGACAATAATTTACAGGAAAAATTTTTTTGCACTTGTTTGTCTTAAAAAAATTTGACTATCAATCAAAATCTGGATCATTCAAATTCAACAGATCGATTTGTTGTTAGTTGACTTGAATGATATTCTAATGAAATGAGAAATCCAGCTGCCTTCTTCTTAATTGTTAAAACATTGTCTATGAGGAGTGGTGCAAGTCTATAATAATTTAAGTAGATTTGCAAAAATAAAAAATAGATGAGATTATCACTTGCACGCGTTAAAGTATCGCTCTGGAGGTGGAAGGGGGGGTACTACATGGTAGGGCTGGTATTTGGCCGTCTGTCCAATTAATTAATGAGTGTTCGGGCATTTGGGAACTCTGAAAGTGATCCTTCAGGAGAGTTTGGGAGAATGTACAGTGCATCTGGAATGCCTCGTTTTCGTGACTGCCACTGCCATTTTTATGATGCAGATCTGCAATGAAAAAATACATATTTTTTTCTAACGGTATTTACAATTTAGGCTGTGAAAAAGTGATTTTTTTTTAAATCTGTCATTGAACATTAAATAGAATTAATAACCTTTGAGAATGGCTGTAGCCCATAATTGTACATGCACGTCAGGGATTTTCGATGCTAATTGCATGGCGGGCGTCACCATGTTCATCGACTCCCTCTCGTTCAGTAAAGACAGGAAAATGTGACCAAGGAGCACCAGACTACAGGATGTTAACCTGTTGAGATCCTCAGAGTTTGCCATTTTCAATGTTTCTCTCAGGTACCTCCTGAAATAATTATTAAATTCCATTTAAATTAATTGCAATGCTTCAAAAATAAATTCCAAGTAATGATTCAATTTGTATTTCCCTCAGCACCCCGGAAGGCCTCGGGCTCGTTCCAGGGTGGCCGTTATTGTCGTCACGGGTAATTTGCGAGCAAGGATGTGCCATCATTGGGAAATAATTAATTGAATAATTCGCCGATAAACATTTTCTGTGAATGTATTAAAAAAAATAAAAAATCCAATCATCCGAAACTTACTTAGCCTCATTGTATCTCGCTCCAAAAAAGGCCTGCAGTCCCTGTACGTAGTACGCCGCAGCCTTGAGCGAGTGTGAATGTGGTGGCAACGATTCGGGTTTAATCCTATCCAGTAATTCATTAAGATCTTGATCCCGTTTGGTCCTCAAATAGACAATAGCCAAATTGAGATTAGCAAATGTGCAGAGCTCCCTCTCAGTAGTGGTCCTGAGAGTTGCAATGAATTGCGCCTCGGCAGCTTCCATACAGTTCATCGACATTGCATACAGTCCCAGCAAGGTGTGCAATTGTGGTCCATGTCCCTGCAACAGCCTCGTCTGCTTCCTGCACAGCTGACACGCTTGTGCAATCTCAGTGAGTGCAACACTCTTATTTCCCATGACCAATCGACACATGACAATATGCTCGAGCAACATCAATTGAAAAACAGAGAGAATCGGTTTATTGTCAACACTCTTGAGCTTTTCAATGTGCGTCAGTGCCTTGTCTGTGTATTTTTGTGCCTTCTCCATGTATCCAGCCTGCATCGAGTGCATAACAGTTACGAGATAAACTAATACATACAAATGTTCCTTTGGCATCCAAATAAACATATCACCAATGTTTGTACCAGCTACAGCATCGTCTGTGGGCCATTGCGGTGACATTATTGTCTGTATACTTTGTTGCAACTGTTTCAAACACGGTTTAACACTTTTAACTTGTCCTGCCATTAGGTAATGACACACTTGGAGTACGAGAAAAAATACTTTGAGGTACTCTTTCTGGTAGATACTACCCTCCCACGTGTCAACACATCGTCCTGCTGCATTTAGCAGGGGGTGAACCTCGTTGAATTTCTTGTCGATCAGGAGGAGCATGCATCTGCTCAGGAGGAAGAGGACACGGGTGTAACTGGCGTTGTTCAATTGGGCGTAGTCAATGCCAATGTCCAGGAGACCATTGGCTGCTATAAAGTCTCTGGCGGATGCATGCATTTGCTGGTAATAATAAAAAATCAGTTGGTGATTCAGAAGTGAGTTGAAGATTTACAATGATCTATAGTAAAAGTACAAAATCACTCGTTTAACTTTCTCCACGAGAGAATTAATGTTTTGTTTATCACCAATACTCACTGCGAGCTGGAAGATGAGCCTGCAGTGCCAGTAAACATTGTGCTGTGATAATTCAATAGCTCTCCTCAAAATTGGCATCGACAGATTGGGATGATCTAGCTCTCCAATCATGCTCGCAGCCTCGAACTTGACATCGTCGAATGTGTTTATGTTCTGACTCAATCCCCACTGGAAAGGTGAGGTTTACAGGTTAGGGTATCCCACGACCCTCCAACATCATTCCAATTATTTTTTACATATGTCCACTCATTTCACGTAGACATTTTAAAGCTCAAATAAAATTATTTAATTGACAATGTTAATTACAAACCGCTTGTTCTAGGTGATACCGCGCTAAGTCTGTGTTTTTCGTGTGTGTGAGTAGAATATTTCCAAGCTGTAGGTGGGTCCTGGCTTCCACACGGGCCGGTGGTTTGAAATAAAATACCGCTTGTAAACACTGTATACATGATTTTATATTTGGTGGATTTGATGTACGAAAATTCTCGGCTAAACCCAAAAGTGAGAGATACCAAGCGTCCTGTGATGACGCCATTTTGACATTTCTGGTCGGAGTATGGGATGATGTGTGTTGAGAGGAGAATAGAAAGCTTTAGGCGAGGTACAGGAGAATCCCCTCGAGGATGCGCGCGCGCATTGTGTTTTGACTTTTAACGACTACTCCATCGGAAAATGGCTATTGATATCGTTAAAAATTCAATGGTTTTCCTCCAACCTCTGGCACCAATAATCTCTTTAAAACTTCCTGGTTATTATTGCTGGAGGAATGATGAGAGAAAGTCGCTGCAGTAGATGTGCAATTGTTGCGTAATTTTTGCGCTTGTTTGCCAATGGTCAGGGTTGCCAACTGATAAATAATCAGAGATTGACGGTTGACGGGCAGACACCCCTAAGGTATGATACAGGAAGGTATTGTCAAGCTTTGATGTCGCCGACACCAAAACTGGGGACAAGTACCTTCAGACGTCGTATGTAGCGCTGTATAACGCCTTCTCCTCATGTGCATTTCATCCCCACAATTCAACAATTTCTGGCGTTTATATTTGAATGCCAGTCGAGTCGTTTGATTTTTTTTCTTTCAAATTAACATGAAAAAAAAAGGCATGGCATAAAAATTATCGACAAAAGCATAAATGAACAATGGGTATATGATTATTTCAATAAGACAGATTCTTCCCCAGTATTGACTATTTTTTCATAAATCAAGTAATTAAAGTGAAACTCTTTCCCCGTCACCCAAGAGGTAGAGTCCTTGACGCGTTTTTTTTAA